CCACTATCACCGGCACATTGATGAGATTTCGATGGGGTTTTGGTCTAAAGTTGGGAAGAAAACAACGAAAAAGAAAAGTTTCATAAGGCTGGAAATAAGACTGAGCCCCGGGGAAGCCTCTTGTTCTCCCCGTTTAGTGGGGACCCCCCGACCCGGCTCGGCCCGGCCAGGCTTTTCACATCGGCAGCCGCCGGGGACTGGAGGTGGTTCCCCATTCGAAAAAAGCTCAGCGGATCGAAATGGTTCTCCGAAACCGCTGTCACAATTTTACCTCTAACCCGATGGAATTTGGGGCTAGAAAAGCTGGTAGCGGCTACTCGTTTTGTTTGGATGCCACTGCTGTGTCAAGTTGCTGGGAGAGGGGTTATCCCTTCCCAAGGGTCCTGTTTGCTTTGGGAGCATCCCCAGCACCGGGCCCCCAGGGAAGAAAACTTTCCAAGAAAGCATGGATGTCTCAGCAATGCCAGATTGGATTTACACCTGGATTTACACCTGGATTTACAATTCGGGCTGTCTTTAGGGGCGAACTTGTTCGCTGAAGGATGGTCGGGAGCATCACGCGCCGGGTCCCAGCTCTTCTCCGGCTCAGCCCTGCTGTTTCTCTCGGTACCCAGGTCCTCGGATCTGAATCCCAGCCAGTCCAAAGCATCCCCCCCGGGAAAGTATTCTAGCTATCCGTCCCTGAGCAGGGATATAAATACTCGGAGATATTTGGAAGATCTCTGTGGGAAGCGATTGTGCCTAAGTGGTAGCGCTCGGAGCTTATTATCGCTGGAACCGATTTGTATTGCAGGGACTAGGTCCTGCCAGAAAACTCCAAAGAAAAAAAAAATCCTGCTCTGAAGAAGGCTGTAAATTCCTGTGCTGCAATATTTCATCGAAGGACGTCACGGAAAATCTGGGCTTGAAGGGGGGAGTCTCGGGACGGGCAGAGGGGGAAAAGGGAGACAAAAAGGGGGGATTAAGATTTTCCTTTTTTTTTTTTTCCTTTCTGACCAAAGCCTGAACTCCTGCCTGAGGCGCGGCCGTGACAGCCAGCCCGCACCTCCCCGCAGCCGTCTGAGGCTCTTCGGCAGCTTAGCTGCGCACCCGCTCCCAATTTCGGCTTCTGCTTTGCCAAAATCTCCTCCAGGTCCCATTCGATCCTGGAGGGCGGACTCTGCCTCCAGGGATGCGAGGGCCCGAGGCTGGACTGTGGGTGCCACTGGAAAGGGCCCGTCCACGATCGGGCACTCGCACACGCGTGGAGCAAAGCGCTGCCGTGTGTGATGGACCCACAAAAAATGATTGGGGGTGCGTGTGTGTCCCTAAGAACAACCTCTCCCTCGGTGCTTCCACCTTCCCCCCAGCGCCCCTCTCCCCAGCCTCGAGCCCCTCGCTTGAACGCGCCCCCTCGCCTTTAAATAAACATTTAGGGATCGATTCGCCGCGGATTTGGGGCCGGCAGCCACGGGGATGGACGAGACCGAAAAAAAACCCAACCAGCCGAGGGAAACAGGCTGGTGCTGGGGAAGAAGGGGGGGGGGGGTCTTGCGGGTGGTGTTAATGCAAAGCAGGGCAGCGGGGAGGGGGACATGAGGCGGTCACTCCCCTCGCCCTGGGTGGTCCGGGCTCGCAGGAACACCCCGGCCCCTCTCGGAGCAGCACCCAGCCCGCCTCTAACAATGCCACCTATATACATTTCCATACTCGGATTACACCCGGCCTGCTTGCAAAGTTGACTTCACTTAAGCAATTAGCTAGTAAAAATACCTTCGGCACAGGAAAAGGAAGAAAGCTCGGATTTGTCTATTTTTACACAAAACACGGCCCGAGTTTCGGGGAGGGGGAAGGAAGGGGAGCGGGTTTGGGAAGCAGCCGGTTGGGAAGCGCAGCGGGGCCGGGGGGTGTTCGCGGGACCGGTAAAACGGGATCCAAACGGGATTAGAAAGGCTAATTGCGCCAGATGATGGTTTAATTTTCGTATTTTCTTCTTTTTCTCCTTTCTTTCCATCTCTCCCAGTCGACGACTGGAGGAGGACACGCTTCACCCACCCAAACCACCAGCAAACGACACCAAAAGCGGATCCCGGTCCTCCACACACCATCCTCCTCCTCCCACACCAGCCACGACCCGGCTTTTCTCCCCCAAAATTCTCCTTTCCCCAACTCGCAGGCTTGGGTTAAAACCCTCCAACCTTTATGCTATTCCCACGACGAGGCCTATAGGACCCAGAGCTATATATTCCCTCTTTTAACATTGGCTCGCTTTAATAAATACATCGGAAACAAAATCTTCACATTCCTGAAAGATACTGCGAGAGGGGGAAAGGGCACTCGAGAAGGAACTGATTTTCGTTGAATGGAAATAGTTTGATTTAGACGGAGAGTTTTGGGGTTTTTTTCACCCTGAGATTTTTTTTCCTAGTGGAAACGCTGCCGTTGGGGACGGTTTTGAACGTGGCTTTTCCACGAGCTCCTAGTGTTGTGTTTCGAGCTCCATCCCCGGGTGTTTCGGGGACAGATCGTGGAGATTCAGTCTCAGAATTAGATAAAACAAAGAAAAACACCCCTTTCGCCATCCGGGGGGAGACATTCGATGCGGAGCAAAGCTCCGGGTTCGGAGATGCTCTCCCACGGCAAAAATAAAAAGAAATGCAGCGAGAAGCGGCGGGGTTATTCTGCTCTAGCCGCCTCGGGGCTGTAAACACCGGGGACGGTGATCGCTTCCCAAAAAAGCGATTTTTTTTGGTGATTGTCCCCCTTCCCGAGCAGTCGCTCTGCTTCGCGTTCTGCTCCGCGCCGGCGGCCCCGGGCGGGAGGAGCAGCGGCCGCCGCCTTCCCGGACAGTCGGAGCTGCTCGTCGTCCTCTTCCTCCTCCTCAAGGGAAAAGCTCCAGAAATAACTGTCCCAACCTTCTTCCACCCCCTCCCTGGCTACCTGCCCCCGGCCTGGGCTTTCCCCAGGGCTCTCCCGTGCCTGTCCCCATCCCATCGCACCGGGAACGAGAGGGCCGGTGCTTTCTGCAGGAGGACTTTTTTTTTTCTGGCGGAGAGGGGGCAAAGGAGGGGAAGAGGGAGGATAGACGGAAAAAAAGCCAATGACAACCCCGATGTGAAATCCCTCTTGGTTGTACCACAGATGTGACAGGCGCCCCGGAGGCTGCTCACAACTGCTCGCCAATAACGCGGAGGGAGTTTGGAAACCCGATCAGTATCTATCTTTCCTTTAAAAGGCATTAAATTATCATTAAAAACTTGAAAAGCGAATCTGGTAGAAGAGGGGCTTGGGGAGGGGGGTGTCCCCCCTCTCTCTGCTGGGGGTGCAGCAGGATGCACCCACAGCACTGCGGCGAGGCCTGCAAGTGGTTTGTGGTGGGGTGTATTTTTTTCCCCCCCTTCCTTTCTCTCTTCCTTTCCCCAGTCGCGGAAGGGAGCTCGCTGCAGCAGCCAGCACATCAGCAGCCCTGAAAGCTCAGGCTCCTTCCCCCGTGCTCACCCACAATCCCACACCCCCGCAGCGCAGCTTTCCACTCACAGTCCGCAAGAAGGTGACAAAGGTTTCAAGCGACTTACCTCTAGTGACAGCTCTCCCGATGGCACGATGCTCAGAAAGGAGGCTTTCTGGGGGGGAGGGGAGGGAGAAAAGGGGGTCTCTACCCCTCTGCCTGTCTATTCTCCCTCCCCCCGCCCGCTGTGTGCGCCCGTGGCACCGCCGGAGCTGAGCATCAGGCTCCGGGCATTCAACTGCGGAACTCCGGCACAGATTTATATACATCCCCCGAAAAAACCCCAAAGCAACCCAAATGAAAACAACCCACCCTCATCCCTAAAGCAGCCTCGGAGCAGGTGAGGGGTCCGAAGCCCGTTCCCGGCCTCGGAGCGGCGGCGGAGGCAGAAAAGGGCATTTCTCGAGGCAGCGGGAGTTTTCGCCGATTTCTTTTTATTAAAGCACCCCCGAGCCCGTGTTTACATTGCGCAGTATAAACATCCTGCCCGGGCCCGCCGAGCTTAAAAGAGCTCACGGAGAGGGGGTTTGAAGTGGGTGAAGCTCCGCGCAGCGCGAAGCTGGAGGCCGGGCAGCTCCTCCGCTGCCCCACGCCACGCGCGGAATCTCCGCGGGCCCCGGCCCCTTCCACGGCCCTCGTGGGGCCCTTCCCGTGGTTTTCAGCAGTGGGAAGGCGGGTAGGGAGGGGGCGGAGGGGCCCCACGCAACGTCGCGGTCACTTGTGGCATAAAACACACACACACACACACACGCGGTGCCCCCGCGTCGGGCAGGGGGGCGTCGCGCAGGCCCCCCCCGAGTGGGGTAGGGCGGCGTGGAAAGGGCTCTTTAAAAGCTGCCCGCCAGCGAGGAGCGGGAGCGGAGGGGGCCGGGACGAGGCGGCGGAGGGGCCGCCCGGGAGGGCGGGGGGGAGCGGGCCGGGGCGGGGATCTCCGCTCCGCGCTTACGTCTGTCAAGGAGCGGCAGACGCCGCTGCAAAGAGATAAAGTAGAAGGCGAGCGGCGGGGCCGGAGGCAGACTCGACAGCCACGGCGATGGGAAGCAGCTCCGCGCAGCACCGGCAGCGCCAGCCCAGCTAGAGCCGGCGGAGGGACGGCGGCGGCCCCGGGAGCCCGGCCCGCCGAGGGGAGCGGGGCAGGCGGAGGCGGCGACCGCCGGCTCCTGGCTCGCAGCAGCCCAGCTCAGATCGCTTCCACCCATCCCGCCTCCCTGCGGCCACCCCCCGACCCTCCGCCTCTCGCTCGCCTTCTGCAGCCGCGCTCGGATTTAGGGATAAAGTGGGAGGAGGAGTGAAAAGGGGGGGTGGGGGGTGTCGTCGCTTCCATTTGTTTATCCGCGGAGGGGTGAAGTCTCCCGGTGGAAAGAAAACCCCGCCGGGGGGCCGGGAGGAGGCCGGAGGGAGGGTGGTGGGTGAGTGGTGGCGAGCCCCCAGCAGCGTGGCCTTTTGGGGGGGCGCTGGGGGGGCGGCGGAGGAGGGCCGGGGCTGGGGCTGGCCGCCGCGGACCTGGCCGTAGATGACTGCAGAAGCGCAACAGGCTCTGTCCTCTCAGCCCCCTCCTCCTCCGGTGCAGAGCAGCTACGGCCCCATGTCCTCGGTGGCTGAGAAGCAGCCGCAGAGCTCGGCCATGGACACCGCGTCGGCGGGGACCGGCGGGGCCGCCGGCAGCGCCCCGGGCAGCGGCGGGGCCCCGGGCAGCGGCGGCCCTAAGGCGAAGAAGACCAACGCGGGGATCCGGCGGCCGGAGAAACCGCCTTATTCCTACATCGCCCTCATCGTCATGGCTATCCAGAGCTCTCCCTCCAAGCGCCTGACCCTCAGCGAGATCTACCAGTTCTTGCAGAGCCGCTTCCCTTTCTTCCGAGGCTCCTACCAGGGCTGGAAAAACTCGGTGCGCCACAACCTCTCGCTCAACGAGTGCTTCATCAAGCTGCCCAAAGGGCTGGGACGCCCCGGCAAGGGCCACTACTGGACCATCGACCCGGCCAGCGAGTTCATGTTCGAGGAGGGCTCGTTCCGCCGCCGGCCCCGCGGGTTCCGGAGGAAATGCCAGGCGCTGAAGCCCATGTACAGCATGATGAACGGGCTCAGCTTCAACCACCTCCCCGACAGCTACGGCTTCCAGAGCCCGGCTAGCGGGCTCTCCTGCCCCCCCAACAGCCTCTCCCTCGAAGGGGGCTTGGGGATGATGAACGGGCATTTGTCCAGCAACGTGGAGGGAATGGGCCTGGCGGGACACTCCGTGCCCCACCTGCCTGCCAACGGTGGGCACACCTACATGGGCGGCTGCACCGGCTCCTCGGCAGGGGAATACCCGCACCACGACAGCTCCGTGCCCGCCTCCCCGCTGCTCCCCGCCGGCGGCGTGATGGAGCCCCACTCGGTTTACTCCAGCTCGGCCTCGGCGTGGGCACCCACCGCCTCGGCGGCCCTCAACACCGGCGCGTCCTACATCAAACAGCAGCCTCTCTCGCCCTGCAACCCCACAGCCAACCCGCTCTCCTCCAGCCTCTCCACGCACTCCCTCGACCAGCCCTACCTGCACCAGAACAGCCACAACACCGCCGACCTCCAAGGTAAGGCGCGGACACGCGTGGGACACGCCCGGGACCGGGGACTGCCGACCATGCGTGGATCCCGGTCGGGCTGCTCCGAGCGGGGATCCCGCTTCGTGGGCAGTTTTAATGCGCTTCCCGAGGGAGAGCCGCTGTGCCCTCGCTCCTCGCCTCCCTTCCTGGGGACAACCGGGCAGCCGTCGGGGCTCTTCGCCGCTGCGGGGCCGGGAACCGCTGGGCCGAGGCTCCGCTTCCCCGGGCCGAGGCTCCGCTCCCCCGGGCCGGGGCTCCGCTCCCCCGGACGGCTGCTTTGCCTCCGGGCCTAAGGCCGGTGGGTTCAGGCAGGCGGGAGCTCCGGGAAGGCGAGGCCGGGTATGCGCCCGAGGGCTCTTCCACCTCTATCGGGACTTAGAGGACTCCGGAGGGAGAAAAGGGGGAATGTCCTCATCGGGGGATCCGCCACCCGCGCCCTCCCGCCCCGTCCCATCCGTTCCCGTTCCCCGCCATCAGCTGTGTTTTCCACACATCTCAGGGCTGTATTTTCCAGGCCCATCGCCTCCCTCCGCCCACGCCAAAGCAGGCGGCCCAGATCCCCCGAGTCCCCCACGCTCTGTAGCCTTATCCCTGACCCCGCAGTGGAGCTGACGGGGGTGAATTTGCCCTGGGTCTTGGAAGGGAGATGGTGTTTTGTCCTGGAATAGGCCTTGGGAAGGACGAGGCCAGCTCTAGGCTTCGCCCTGCGGCCCAAATTCACCTCGGGATGGGGTGGATGGGGGACTCTCAGGCACTGGGGAGCCCCGGGAGCCATGGCCGGGTGATCGGGCAGATCTGGGGGGCTCTGCACATCACCCCGGGCCTTTCAGGGGAGTGGGATGTACCTGACAGAAACGGGTGTGAAGCGGACCATTAGCGGGTCAAAATCACCAAGCGAAGCAGAGGAAAAGCATGAGCCGGGTCGGAGCGGTGGAGCCCGGGCAGAGCCCCGAGCGGGGTTGGGCCGGGGTAGCACTCGCCAAGGGCACCCTCCGCTCCCGGGTGTGTTCCCGGTGCTCAGCGCGCCCAAGGCCTCTGGAAAACGGAGCTGGAATCTGCCCCGAGGAGCCACCGGGCCCATCCGAGGCCTTAAAACGAAACACTCCGATTAACACCCAAATGGGCGATGGGGAGCGGTCCGGGCAGGGCATCCCATCCCCAGCGCACCCCGAATTCCAGGGGCGCTTTTCCGTGTCGAGGTGGCGGAAGGAGCGGCAGGAACAGCCCCGCTCCCCGTGGCCTCTCACCCCCGGCCCCCCTCCCGGTCTCCGCCGCCGGCCCCGGGAACGGACGGGCTTCCCCTCTCCGCACCCGGCGGGTATTCCGCTCGGGCGGAGGCGATGGGAAAAGCAGTCGGGGCGAAAAAAAATATAAAATGTCAAAAAAACCCTAAACCCAGCCGAAATCCCTTCTCCTCGCAGCGCCCTTGGGCCGGGCAGGGAAGCGCCTTCGCGGGGCCTCGGGAGTTCCCCCTACCCACCTGCCCGCGCCCGCGGAGCCCCAGTAGTGCCCGTGCATGGGAAAATACCCCCAGTTTCGCGCTCAGACTGGGGGGTGCGAAGGGATTGGGTTGTTGGGGGTTATTTTTCAACCCCAGATGGCGGCTGCTGACCATCTTTTCCCCCGTCCCGCAGGCATCCCGCGGTATCACTCCCAGTCTCCGAGCATGTGTGACAGAAAGGAATTCGTCTTCTCTTTCAACGCCATGGCCTCCTCTTCCATGCATTCGGCGGGCAGCGGCTCCTATTACCACCAACAAGTGACATACCAGGACATCAAGCCGTGCGTTATGTGATACGGGGCGGAAAAAACACCTCCTGGGCCGGCAAGGCCTGACCCGGGCGCTGAGCACCCCCCAGGACCCTCTCGGTGGAAGGGGGGGTCTCTGCAGACTGGCTATGGGCAGGAGGAAAAGACTGGAGCCCCGGGAAGCGGCGGGGAGTGCGGCCCTGGGGCTGAGCCTGACCCGCAGCTGAGCATCGGCCGGACCCGGCCCAGCCGGGTCTGCGATCACAGACCGTCTCTGCCTTCTTCTGCTTGGGGACGGGTTGAGAAGAAAGCAAAAGCAGCCCCCCCCCCATCACCCCCGAAACCCCCGACTGCGAGTTTGGGTGAAGGGTTTGACAAATGAGGTTTTGATGCTTCTTAAAAAAAAAAATTAAATTACAAATTCGGTTTTGGAATTGGTGTTGAGCGATGCCACCGGCCCGACTGGGAGGAACAGAACCGGATCGGGCTGGGGGCGCTGGAAAGGACCCCGACCCCAAACCCCCTCGGTCCCGTCTCACTTCGAGCCCGGAATTTTTTTTTTTTTTTTTTTTTTTTTTTTTTTTTTTGCCGGCAAACACTCAGCGGGCAAAAATCTCTCAGAGGGATTTTTTTTTTTAACTGTTAATTTTGTGGGTTTTGCCTGCATAAAGACTGCAGGATCAGCCCCTATGCAGAGAGAATAAGGCACTTTGGAAAGAGACAGCCATGCTCATCCTGTTATTTATTCGAGTTTTTTTTGTTGTTGTTGCTAATAATCGAGACACGAATAGTCTCAGTTGATCAGTATTAAATCGGGGAATCTCTGTTGGCAATATTTGCCATATAGATTTTTGTTTTTTAGTTAACCTTTGTAAATTTTAAACCGATCGTGGTCTCTGTGTAAAGACAATCCTCCATATGTTTTTATAGAAATATATATATAATGAAGGATTATTCCCCTCCCTCTCCCTCTCTATTTTTTTCTCCCTGACGTTGTACAGTTCCGTGACACCTATTTTAATTCTTTCTGCACTGTATAAAATTGTAATTATGTGGGTTTGTTTTTTGTTTTTTGGTGTTTTTTTTTCGCCCTGCCCTTTTGTGTACGTTTTGTCTCTAAAGAAAAAAAAAAACGAAATAAAACATGTATGTTATTTGTACATGGGCTTCACGATTGTATGAGCAGCAAATAAACGAGCATGCGGTGTAACAGGCGTAATTATATCTGAGGAGTCCGCGGAGCGCGGAGGGGCCGCGCAGCGCCCGGCCCGGCCCCGCAAACCTTTGGGCGATAATTCCCCGTCTCGGTGCAGACTCAAAAAAGGACCTTTTTGTGGCTTTTTGCGGCTTCCGCGGAGTCCCGGTTACTCATTTCCCCGCGCGGAAATATTTCAAATGAGGATATTGAAGCGAAGGAGGAAAACCGGAGGTGATTTTTATTTTTATCTTTTAATTCTTCTTATTATTATTTCATTTTTTCCCCTCCAAGAAGAAAGCGAAAGGCGGTGTTTGACAGCTCTTTGCCCCTCACTCGGAGTCAAGGCGTGTGGCTGCAGGGATGGAGTCCGCGGCTCCTTGTCTCTCCTCCTCCGTCCCAGAGGGACACGGGCATTTTCCAAGCCGCGCATCCCTGTGGAATCTCCGAGGGCTACAAGAGCGACCGCGGCTGGGAGAGCACTAAAACCTCCCGCGGGGTTTTCCCTGTGGGAAAAAGAAATAAAAGTTAATAAAGTTTAAGAAAATTATTAAAAATTAATAAACAGGAATAAAAAGAAGAAAAATCAAGCACATTAACTCCTGCACCATCTCTGTCCTGCTCTGGGCAGCGATAAAATCCCTGTCTGAAAAATAGGTATTTTCCTGCTAAATTTGGGAGTATTTGGTCTAATTGTGGATACTACAGTATCCAGGAATTTTTGTGCCTTACTTTGTGGGCCAATATGTCTCTATCAACGCTCATACTATGGATATGAATGCATATAAAAAATAGATGCAGGTGAATTAATCTGATTATTTGGTTGTGTATTTCTGTCTTTATATAGGGACATTTAGTAACTGCACACTAATTAGCCCAGCTCCGTGTAATCAGCTTAATTAAAAGCAAAAGTTTTTTTCTGCTGGAACAACAACCAACAAATTTGAAATATTATTTTAATTAAGGCAGGCGAGAACAGCTTTATTACAGTTGGTGGAGGCCTTTCTCACAGTGGGGTTTTTTGTTGTTTTGTGGGTTTTTTTGAGAAGGTTTGTGGGGTTTCGAGGTGTTGGGGGCTTTTTGTTGTTATTGTTGTTGTCTGGGTGGTTTTTTTTTTAGTCTCTTTTTAGATCTCTTTAAGATACTGACAATCTACCTGCAGTATTCCTTGGTTTTCCCTGTTTTTATACCTTTCTGGGTTGATCCTTCCCTCCATCGCTGCCCATCCCTGCTGGAGGTGAGCACAGTGTTACCATCCTTTTTAAATACAAGCCAAAACCAGAGAGTTTTTTGCCCCTGAAGCAAATATCTGCACTAGGTGTGGCTGAGATAAAGGTCCAGGGTTATGAGTTCAGTCTCTGCCAAGTGGTTCTTCTTTCCTTGAAATCTCACTGTCACTCCTAAGCTTCATTTTCATCCTTTGGATTAATACTGGACTCACTCATTGACACATAGAGCTGATGCCAGGCTGGAAGGGGCAGAGAGGCACTTTGCAAGCCTCAGGCCCAGCTCAAAGAGGTTTGATATCTGGTCCCCAACAAAGGTTGACATGATTCATTTTTCTCCCTCCCGTCGTTTTCCAAACCTGGAAAAACAGAACCACCACATACCGTGGAGGCCACATATTCCTCAAGCCAGTGAGCGCAGTCTAAACAGACAGCTCTCCATCTCAGACACCCACATCAGGGAGCAGAGCCTGAAACCCCACAGGCTCCTGCCCCCAGCCCTTCGTCTGCACAAGACCAGCTTGATTTTTCCCAGCGTATATTGTCCCATGGGGTGGCAAATCCCGAGTTGCTGCCACAAGCGGTGCCTTTGTACAAGCTCCAGGAGCAGTTGGGCTCTGGAAGGAGGTCAGGAGGAATAAACTTGCTCAGAGTGGCTGTGGGAGCCCTGTAAGAGGAGATGAGCCACGGGCTTGCTCAAAAATGTGGTATTTGCTCCTGTAACAGCCCAGATCTGGCCGTGCTCAGCTGCTGTGGCTCAGCTCAGAGATCTGCTCCCTGCTCCTTGTCACCCACATCCCAGTCTGTAGGTGACACAACACGGTTTTCTTTGAGGTTTTGGCATTTCTACTGTAGGAAATAGTTTCTCACCATGGGTGCCCTGTGCAGGCCCAGGAGTTTTCTACAGCGATGACATTTCGGAGCATGACAAGAAGCGGGGCCTGGTGTCTCCAGCTGGGTTTGATTCCAGATGTCCCCCTGGATCAGGGGACAAGGGGGTCCCCAGGTGTGCTGTGCCCTGGGCTGTGCCCTGCCATGGTAGGGATCCTGATGGTGAGGCACTTCCCTCTGATCCTTCCAGGATGCTTCTCCCCATCCTTGCAAGGCCACCATTGAGCAGGAACTCCACGTTTACCTCTGTCACCTGCCCGTGTGTCCCCAGGGGTGTTTATGTCCCTAAGGCACACGGTCCCTTGAGGGGCCAGGACTTGAGGAACTGTGGGATGCTGCAGGGATACCAAGGCAGGGAGATGCCCTGCAGAGCCCCTGGAAGAGGAGATGTGGGGCTGGATCTGCTGTTGGAGGGGGACAAAATTTTGGGAGGGCCCATGGGCACGATCTGAGGCCCTTTTTGGGAGGCAGCATGGGGGCAGGAATGTTATGGAGGGGTCTCCTGGGGAAGGGGGATTTGAAGGTATCCGGGGGGATTGGAGGGATCCCAGAGGTTGGAGGGATTTAGGGGAGTTTGGAGGGATCCCGAGAGAGGGATTGGAGGGATCTGGGGAGGGAGTTTGGAGGGATCCCGGGGAGATTGGAGGGATCCCGAGAGGGGGATTTGGAGGGATGCTCAGAGGGGGGATTGGAGGGATCCCGGGGCGGGTTTTGGAGGGATCCCGGGGTACCCGGGCCGGGGGGGCCGCACCGTTCCCTTGGCGGCAGCACCATCTGGCGGCAACAAACCGGCACCGCCCGCACCTCGTCCCCGCTCCCGCCCGGCCGCGGGTTTCCCCAAAATTTGGGATTAAAACCCGGCCGGTTCGGGTGGTTTTGGACCTTTTCTCCACGGGGTGGGTGTTAAAAGTTCGCTTTCTTTCTTTAATTATTGTATTTTTAAATATTTTTTTGTATTTTTATTATTTTTATCTCTTCTTAAGGTTTATTTAGTTCGGTTTTAATTTTCCCTTTTGGCATCTGGAGCTCTGAAGGGGAACATCCCTTTATCCCATCTTCAGATGTATTGGCTGTTGAATACACTGGGTGGAACTCCTTTATGGTATATTTGTGGATCAGATCTGTTCCACACCCAGGTGGGACAGATCGGGATACTTGGCATGGGATAGAATGGAGTATCCCATGGATACAGACACCTGGCACATGATGCTCTTGGGTGGGGTTGGTTATCCAGATCTGCAGAAAACTCGGTACCTTGGAGACTTTACTGGTGGGAACAAACACCTGGAATCTTAAATGGGTATTTGGAATACCAGGTGATGAGTTTGGTACCAAGATCTTAGCAGGTTAAAGGCCTAGATCCATAATAAGTAGGTGCCTGATTTCTCCCTCAAACCCAAGAAATTTAGGACCTATGTACTCAGGGTATCTGGGAAACAGTTTTTGTCACTTTTGCAGAGGGGAATTTGATTTCTGTGTCACTGAAATGCTTCTGGGTGACCACACCTGAACATTTGTTCCCTTTCCAAGCATATTTACAAGTGTAACTGCTGCCTGACGCTGTGCAGGAAAAGGCAGCACTAGGACGCTCCTGTGGGCTTTGCATTTCACATCTCTGCCAAAAAATCTTTGCCATGTGGAGTCATCCTGATGCAGGTGGGCTGGCTAAAGGACCCCCTCTGAGGAGCAGGAGATACCCCCAGTGCCAGCAGCTCTGTGGTTGTGAGCTGATGT